GATAAAAACTTTACCTGCTTTTTGAGAACACAGATTATAGATTAAGATACTATTAAGTAATTATTTAGTATTAAGTTAATTATAAATAAGCGACAATCAATCTTTAATTAAAATTTTTTCTGTTTAAAAACCAATAGAACTTCGATAGTTGTCGCTGTAGTATCTGCTGTACATTATTTTTAAAATAATTGCTAATATGACAGAAATATTTTGTTTCATTTAAACTTTACCACAAATTTGGTCCAAAAGGACGAATTACGTATAAGCGAATGGTGGTGCTCTTTACTGAAATTAAAACTTAACTGTCTTTCGAGTTTTTTCCTGCTTGTCCAAATTTTGTAAAAAAAATATGAATAACTGAACTTTGATATATGACGAATATACAAAATTTGTCCAAAATTGAATGCAGAATATAAAAATACAAAAATACGTAGGTATTTTTATACCTACACCTAGTTAGAACATGTAAATTTTTAGAGTTCAAATATGATTATTTTTTAGAGATAAGTCAAGTGTGCGGTTGACGTGAAACAACCTACATACTGTAAATCACTTATACACTGGTTATACTGTAGCCAACTACTATATTGCAAATATTTCATTTATTAATGATACCCATTTAAAAATTATTCTCGAACCACGTACCAGCTTGTACAGTTCTAGTGGATGGGTATCATACGTTTGTGGAGACACCGCTTTTATACAGGCAGTTCTCAAATCTGACCCTATATTATCTCTCCATCGCATTTCGTGGACTCCTGAGGGCCTTCTCCCTGTCGAGATTCTTCCCAGATTAACTTGGTATAGGCGGTTATTAGGCAGCCTATGAACATGGCCAGCCCATCTTAGACGTTGGGATTTAATCTCTTGGACTTACGTCGCTAGCACTTATACATTTGTTTGACCTCGGCATTGTTCTCATTCGGTATTGGTTAGTATTCGGATCGTGATGGGAACCGAAGATCTTTCTGAGAATTTTTTCTCTCAAAGCATCTGTGTTTACTCTTCATTGCTTTTGTCAGCGTTCACGTCTCACACCCATACATGAGCACCAGTCTAATTACTGTTTTATATTTCCTGATTTTTGATGTCCATGTTAGGCTCTTGGATTTAATATTGTTGTGGAGGCTATACAACATCTGTTTGCTGCCTGAATCTCCCTTTTATCTCTTCGTGATATCGTTATCCATGGTGATAGTCGCTCCGAGATATTTTAAAACTCTCCACTCTTTCAAAGATCTAAATGCATTAGTTTGGTCAAAATCTATTGAAATTTCAATATTACAAAATTCTCTGAAAAAGAATTTCTCTGATGCTAGATTTAAAACGGATCAAAGTATCAAGGAGATGGGCTCTTTCTATTGCTTTGGATTATATTCTACAAAACATGAAAAAGGAATTGATACTTTTTTACACGTTGATAATTAGACCTATGGACAAATTAGTGAGTGAAGTAACTAACTGGTATTAGGGCAGGTGTTGAAGAGACTGATAAATTTCATGTGAAAGTAGGATTGCATTAAGTCGCGGTGCTTTAGCCCTTATTATTCTCAATATTCCATGATAAATAACCATCGAAACTATAGGATAATATTCCGTGGCGCTTAATGTATGCTGATGATTTAGTGTTAGTAGAAAATAGTGGAAGCGGAGAAAAACTGGAACAATGGAGACAAGGTCTTGAGTAAAAAGGTTTAAAACTTAGTAGACAAAAACAGACTATTTGGGATGTTCATTTAAAAATAGAGTTAGTGCAAATAGAATAATATCTTAGAATGGTGAGTGAAGAGTGAAAGGATTGTGAAAAATAATCTGTTTTTAAGTATCTAAGATATGTGTTACAGAGTAATGGGGGAATAGATGAAGATGCATGCAGTAGAATTAGGGTAGGATGGATGAAGTGGAAGGAAGCAAGTGGTGTATTGAGTGACAGAAAAATTCCAATGAAGCTGAAGGGAAAATTCTATAAAACAGCCATAAGACCAGTTATGATGTACAGACCTGAAATGTTTGGCAGTTAAAAAGTAAGAGCGTGAAAAGAGAGTAAACGAATGCATGTGGCGGAAATGAGAATGCTTAGAGGGATGAGTGGGGTGACAAAAAAGGAGTGTCAACGTCAAAAAGACCTGGGTGGAGACGCTTGATCAGGACATGCTGGTAAAGGGTATTAATATTGATATGACATAAAATAATGCAAAGAAGAAGTATGAAGAAATGCAATTAAGGAAGTTGATCCCATATAGGGAAAAAAGGCAAGAGAATGATGATGACAGTTTTTTTCCAGGTTATTATGCGGTGTTTCTCTTTTTCTTCTTCCTTCTGGTTGGTATTCGACTGCCTGTCTGGTTATATTATTTTAATCTTTTCTTAGTGTATGGCCAATTCATTCATTTCCTTTTTTAATCGTGACCGTTTAATTTATTCTTGTTTTGTTCTTTTCCGTAGTTCTGCTTTTGTAATTTTATTGGTCACAGTATATTTTTAGAATTTTCTTAAGGATTTATTTATAAATGTTTGTCATTTTTTGGTACTTGTTTTTTCTGTCTCCAAGATTCTGCGCCATACAATAAGATACTCATATGAAATACAGCTATTAAATATTTTGATTTTGATTAATTTTAATATATTGCTTGTGTTTCAGATTTTCTTAAAGAATGTGCCAGTTATGTATGTTATGCCTTTACTATTTTTATTTCTTCATCTAATCTACTACCGCCTTTTTTCCATTATTGATCCTAGATATGTAAAATTTTCTACTTCTATTTTCTACTATTTTTCTTACATTTATTTTAATTTTAGTTTCTTGGCTGTTGTTTTAAGAGTTCTGTTTTCTTGTATTTCGAAAGAAAATGCAAAAAAGTATTTTTGAAGTGTGTATATTTTAGGCAATTCCTAGCTGAGCGCTTTCGGCTTTACAAAGCCATCATCAGAAGCTATGGTCAATTTTTTTAAAATACCACTACATAGAAGAGATCTCATTTCCTTAAGTTTTAAAATTATGATATTGTAGGAGTTGGAATTCTTAAAACACATAAAAAACATATAAAAAGTCGACACTGGACTTCACAAACACGTTAAAAAATTGAAAAATATTGAAAAAAATTTTTGTCATGGTACGGGTTTTAAGACCCGACCATCTATTGATGTGAGGACGTAGACTGAATTTTTATATGTTTTTTTATGTGTTTTAAGAATTCCAACTCCTACAATATCATAATTTTAAAACTTTAGGAAATGAGATCTCTTCTTTGTAGTGGTATTTTAAAAAAATTGACCATAGCTCTGATGATGGCTTTGTAAAGCCGAAAGCGCTCAGCTAGGATTTGCCTAAAATATACACACTTCAAAAATATACTTTTTTGCATTTTCTTTCGACTTGTCATAAGTGTGTACAAAAAAAAATATCAGTCTTTTGATTTTCTGTATTTATTTTAGGTTTTTCATCGCTTATTTTCTCCATGATCCAATCCGTTATGAATAGGAATAGTGTACGGAACAGTATGTTTTCTTTTTTAACTCCGCTTTCTATATGCCGCATGTTCCAGTCTTGCTCTGTAACCCTTATAGATCTGATCAGGTTAATGTATTTCATCGGTAGCCCATACAGTTTTAGAATCCTTTACGTTTACTTTCCGTATATATTGTCGAAGACCTTTTTGAAGTTAATAAACAATATATTCGCTAGCTTGTTCCAAGACAAATGTTACAGTACAAATATGATCGATAGTGGAGCTTCTAGCGCGAAAGTCTGCTTGGTTGCTTCTTAGTTTCTTGTCTAGCTCTGGCTTCAGTCTGTTTAATATGACCTTGGACATTATTTTGGATGTAGCCCTGAGCTGAGTTAATGTTCACCAATTCTCGCATCTACTTAGACAAGGCGCTCACCAACGTGGCAACCAATGGCGTGGCAATGGCGAGCGAGTGCTGTGGTGTCCCAGTGGCAGATAGAATTGTTAAACCTTTATAAACATAATGTAGTCGCACGTATCGAAAGGTCGCACATGCGACTACATATGTTTATACATTTTACCTGCCACTTGGACACCACAACACTTGTTCGCCATTGCCACGCCATTTGGTTGCCACGTTGGTGAGCGCCTTGCCTTAGAACGCCTCGCTCTTTTTGGTATCTTAATTCGTTTGGTAGCCTCTCATCGGCCCATATCTTGTTAAAGAGTTTGTGTAACATTTCTCTTTCGTTTGTGTCGGCCTTTATTAAATCTATCGGTAAATTTTCACTACTCGAACCAGCGCCTTTGCCATTTTTTAGTTGTTTCAGTGTGTTTTGTATTTCTTCTTTACTAAATTCATCTGTTCTAACGTTCAACTTCTGTATTTCATTTTCTTCGTCTATATCTGGTATTGCCTCGTGTTTGGAGTATATTTATTCGAAGTGTTCTTTTTATCTTTATATTATTTCATGTTCCGCTATTTCAGCGGAGTAAACGCTACTTTATAAATCATTTGTTCCTAATTCAATTTTGAAAATATTTAAAGACAAATATTCAAATATTTTGAAAATATTTAAAGGACACCAACAAGAAAGAGACTTTAGGTTAAAAAATATATTAGATTAATTTAAACTTAAATTTGAAGTTTTTCTTATATTATTGGAATTTTCAAATTTTTTGTGTTTTTAATGTTTTACAACTGGTAAAATTAAAAATACATCCAACCCCCTCTGTGGCTCAGTGGTAAGAGCGCCTACCTTTAAACCTAAAGGTCGTGAGTTCGAATCTCATCTGGGTGGAGAAATTTTCATTTATTAAAAATTAACGAATGAAAATAATTTCTATCCTGTGCGATCGGTACTCACCAGAGCCGAGCACGAGCAGACCACAGTACACAACCACACACACACACTACACTTAGGTACCTGACTGTACCATGCCAATGATCATAGTTGTCGAGGCATTAACCAATAAAAAAAAATGCTACAACTGTAAATTAAAATTACATCCTAATTCAATATTATCTCTAATGTAAACTTTTTTTTCTAGAGAAACATGGAATCCTTTTGGAAAATACCTGTAACTGGACGCCAAAAATATTTTTAAATTCCAAAATGGCCCAATTTAATAGATGGTCGGTGTTAAAACTCTTCGAAGTTGTAAGTATATTGCTTAATTTTTATAAAATAAAAAATAGTAAAAAACTATTTATATTTTCGGCATTTTATTTTTTAAAATGTTTCTTAAATGAATTTAAACTCAATAGATAATATCGAAGCGAGAAAGGAGACATAATCTCATCAACAAACGTAGATAATAACGAAGTAAATATAGAGGAGTTACAAGGAGAACAAAAACAGGTGTTGTGGATAATATGGACCCAGAAATAGTGAAATACATAGAAAAAGGTCGAAGGAGCATGATTGTTCAACTTTTTTAATATAACATGAAGAACGCGAATAATACCTAAAGAATAGGAACCAAACCTCATAATCTCAATATATAACAAAAGAAAAGAGAGCTAACTGTACCAAATATCAAGCTATATGTCTACCAGAAGTAACCTTTAAGTATATACAAAAATAATGGAAAAAAGACTAACAAAAATCGTAGAACATAAACTCGAAAAAGAAATCAAGGCAAATGCTCAAATGTATTGAGCCTTAGGCAACCCAATCCTGGACAGTTGTACATTGACGATAATCTGCAATCCGCACTTTCTGGCAGCCCAATTTTTTTATTTATATAACTCTTGGGGCGATAATCTACTGTTAGAAGGTCTAAGATAATTAGCAGATCATTCCTATTCATATTTAGTAGATCTCTTCTTCGAAAGTTTGTGTATAAAAACCTTCGAATGTTTAAGGTCCATTTGTTTCATACTAGTGGTTAAGTTAGGTTACCCAGCTTATAAAACATTGTATAAGGAAACGGAAGAAAACGTACCAATTTTATAGACAGTTACAATTGTTTAAATAGTTTTTGCTATAAAACTAACTTAGAGGAAAATGAAATGAAAAGGATAATGTTATGAAACTTGTTTATGTTAGTAGATATATCGTCACCTGAGAATTATGTTGAACCATGTCCCAAAATGCGTAGAATTTGAATTAGAAGGTTTATGTACTTTTCTTTATTTCGTGTAAGGGACTACAATTGTTTACAATGTTTTGTAGGATGTTCTTACGGGTAAATAATAATGTGCTTGTATTTTCCAGGAAAAAAATATGTAATTTGACTTTTGAAAGATGGACATGGTTTAAGATGATTTCCAGTTTTTTTTACAAATTTATCTGCAATCAAAATTATTAAACCATGTCCACATGACTAATACTGATAATGCTGATAATACAGACTTTTAACGAATGTACAGTTCATAGAATTGTTTATCCACCTGTGGCATATACTTTAACATTGAGATGATGTCGGCCTTCTTCTTCGCTTCCAGTGATGGCTGTTGGGTGATCTGCTTTACATTAACCATGTATTCAAGAGTATTATTACTGCTTCTATCGGGATGGGTCCGCTGATTTCTAGTAGTTCCATCCACTCTTACTTTGCTCAGATTGCCCGTAAAGGAAGTTTTATAGCTAACATACATACTAGAATCAAATTCAATAAATTTAACTTTTGTGTATGGGATTTTACTGTATCCTAATTTCTTTGCCAGTATCTGAAAATTTAAAAAATCTGTCGGCTTCATTTGCAATACAATAATTTTTTTTGAATGACTTGCAATCTGCACTAGGGTTCTGAGCAAAGACACTGGACTGTATAATTCTGAATAGCGCATTTTTCTCTCAAGCAAGCTATGTACAGCATCTACTTCCTGTACATTGCTGTGCCCGGGCTCTGAAAATTTTTGTTGGATCAACTGTATTTGAGGATGTTTCTTGATGAAATGCTGTAATCCAAAAGTCATGATGCTATTCCTATTTTGGGGGATACAGGAATCCGACCAAATTACCAATTTTGTTAACTCAGGGAAATCTGACACAATTTGATCCAAAATTTTTAGAAGACTACTGCAAATGTGATTTCCAGTTCTTCCGGATATCATTTCATGCCATACTCCGCAGTATGTCTTCTTATTCTTTGAACAATATCCCGTTAAGTTGTAAACACTGAATTTACGTTTATAAAAAAAATTTGATACATTTGCTTTTGGTAGTGAATACACATTCTGCAAATCAAATGATATAAACGCAGTGTTTTCTTCTACTGGTTCCCTATCCCGGTTCTTTTCCATTTTGCTTTCTTCTTTTCCTTTCACATGGTTCTGGAATTCTTCACGCATTTTATCTGTCACATCAGTAGAATTTTTTATTTCTTCGCAGAAATCACATCTATCTTTTTTAGGTTTAAAGAACGAAATGTTGAAAGATGTATTAAAAACATTTCGATATACATTTATTTTGATCTCAGAATAGGGGTGTTTTTCCTTATAGAGGTCAAACATTTTTTGTAGGGTTAAATCTTGTTCTAAATATTCTTTACTTGTATTTGCTCGGCAGTAATGACTTTCCATTCTCGGAAACGAATTAATATGCTCTTTAATTTTGTTAATTTGATCCCCACTGGTTACTCTTTTCACATGTTTTCCATGTACGTTGCTTTTCGGTGTGCCTGTTATTTGGTACTTATTTTCAAAAAAATAGGAAATCCGCCGAGAGCTAATATGCAGGGTATTTAAAAAAAAGTTTTGCAAACTTGTACTCTGTTATTATTTAATTCGAAAAAATATTTCAGAGTATACTTTTTGTAGGCGTCTTTTGACTGTGGCTGTGGAAAAACTCTCGGTCTGCTTCTATTTTTTTCAGTTTTTTGTACAAACTTACTGTAAAAATGTGACTTCTCTTGGTCTTCTAGTTGCCAAAAATGTTTATGTATAGATGTCTGGTCTTCAATGCTTATTTTAAGTTTACATTTTAAACGACAATCACACTGTCCCTTCACTGATTTCATTTCCACAGGTTCTCCTTTGGTATTAATATAATCCAACCCAGCTTGTCTACGCCTTTTTCTTACATTTTGTTTCCATTCATTAATATCCTTTTTTCGCTTTCGAGAACGCTCTTTATTTATTCTGTTAGGCTCCGCACTATAACAAAAACACACTATTACTTATCGAATGTGTAATAATGTGTGTGACTTGTGCTAACTAAACTCGTTTCCCTCAAAAATACAAAAAACACTTACCTCTGATTGCTTTCGGCATCTGCAGTATCATCCTGTAACACATTATCTGACATCATGTCATCGTCATGAATGTGCTGATCCAAATTAAACAGAAGTTTATCAACGTCTGGCCTATAAGTTGGATCCTCTATATCGCTTAGATCACTTAACTCTTCAAGTAGACTATAAAATAAAGGTTATGTTGTATTTTTAATACTCAATCAACATCATTTCTAAACTGTTTTTCACAATTTTTAAAACCTTTAAACACCTTTAAAATGTAGATTAAAACATTCTTTAACGAACACGTTCGTTATTTTGTTTAAATACGTTGGAATCATGCTGGAATGCGATATTCGATTATTATTATTGTGTACCATGTCCTATGACACGTGTTAAAATAGCCCTTTATTATTGGCTGTGGACTTGATACAGAATAATTCTCAAAAATAGTACACTTTGGGACTTGGTTTAATATAATTGTTCGATTTTGTCAATGAAAGAGCTTTATTGAGTACATCTGAGAGCTGGACATGGTACATTTTAATACCTAAAGTGTGTTGTGATTAAATCTCACATTTTCAAAAAAGTGGACTTGGTTCAACATAATTCTCAGGTGACGATATGTTGAACTCTATTTGCAATCAAAATCCCATACAGAGATATTGTCTCAGAATCAGCAACCCCCAAATTGGAAGTCTTACGTTGCCGTCTAGGGTATCTGTTAAAATCTTTAACATCACAACTTATTAACAAAGATATAATAAATAACAAATTGTGTACCATTTATACCCACAAATTTAGTGGTTGGATTCATGTACACCTGGTAAGATACTGATGATGGGATTTTTAGTCCGAAAACGTTCTGCGATGTATCGCGAAAGGGTCTTTTTAATCATATACCTTTTATAAATGATTTTTAATTAAAACTTATGTAGTTTATGGTATACAGCCAACTAGAGAGATTTTATTTTCCTTGCGGATCTTAACATCCCGTTCAATTGCTGTAGTATTTATATTCCACTGAGCTTAGACATGATTGCTGCTGATTTCCATTTGCTATGTTGATGTTAAGTCCGTACTTCTCTCCCACTTAATTTACGATATTCACTAAATCTTGCTGTTCCTCTACACTTTGTGCTATTACAGCCGAATCGTCAGAATATCTTAGTTTACCTAAAATATGCTAAATTCAATTGTGCCTTTTTCATTGTATTGTGAAAGCTAATTTTTTTTTCAACATAAATGTTAAGCAATAGTGGGAAGAACCCTATATCTTTCCTTATCTGTAGACCATTGTTAATGTTCACGTCCACTTTTTGACTCCAATATAGTTGTTGAGTGATTCTCGCGTATTTGTCATTGAGCTCCATTTCGTTTAACGTCTGAATCAATAGTATCAAACGCACAAAAATTCTTGACTTCTTAATGAACTGTCTGTGTTTCTAGTATACAAGACGAGCTCACGTGTGGTCACTCTACATTCATTCCATAAAACCAGAGTACGGTTATACGAACTGCAACTCCATACGCCTCAACTGAACGTTAGTCTGCATTACGTGCCCTGTGCCCACTATATAGACGAGTGGCAGAGGAGTAGGCTGGGTAGGGACCTCATTGCTACCTGCATTTCTCCGTTCGACTCGCGGAGGTAAGAATACGGCCGAGGCCAGAAGACCCTGCTTGCCGTAAGAGGCGACTAATGGGTGGGCAATGAGAGGTGGAGAGCCGTCGTTCGATGTGTCGGGTTTGTAGAAACACACTCGAGATGCCATCTCGGTCACCGGTCTACATTCCTAGCCTCTAAGACGAGCCTCTCGTGGAATCACTTTACTCTCATTTCCACAAGAGCCAGGTGAGGTTGAACAAGTTGGGACCGTAAATACCTCCCACGGCCTTACACCACCGAGGGTGGTGGTGACCCGGCACGTACTCACCTGAAATGATTTACGAGTGGTAGAGGAGCTATTCCTCGGCGGTGACCTGTCTACGTGCGAGACGGAATTCCTCCGCCTACTTCGTCTGTACGCCCCCGGAGGGGGGGGGGGAGCTCCGGGTGGGTGACATACCCGCAATACAGGTACTACGAGTAAGGTGGAGCCCCACGATGCTTAGGCATTGTGCGACCACCTTGGCCAGGAAGACCAGGGTCCAGCCAATTTTATAATTGGAGGATACACAAATTAGTCAATGCTACTTGCAGTTGACTTTCCGCCCGTGGTTTAGATGACGGACTGGGGTTCGTTTAGCGGGTACCACGATAGTCGGATTCCAGGAATGACACGAAGTACGTTCATGTCTGACGTTGTCAAAGGCCTTGTGGTAATCAATGAAGCAAATAAATATGACTCTACAAATAAAAATAGGAAAATGTTTGATAAACCAGCTTGAAATAAAAGAATTGTGCTGACAGTCTTCAATTATTTTTCTTTATAATATTTATACTTTAGAGAAATATCAAAGAAACAATTAGACCTATATTTACATACAAGGCGGAGACAAGACCTGACGCATCTAAAACGAAACGACTACTAGAAACAACAGAGGTGAAAATACTCCGTAGAAAATACTACCACGAACATAAATGGATGGGTGACAAAACGATAACAGGAGTGGAAGGAACACTTAGTAGAATGGCAGAGGATAGTATAATCCGAATAGCACGAGATAAGTCACCATATGGACGAAGATGTATTGGCGGACCAAGAAAAAGATGGTGCGATAAGTTAAACAATTTAGGAGGCTAACACTGAAGAAGAAACGAGCTTTAAAGCCTCCGTACAAGAAGAACGAAGAAGATAAAAATCACAACCATCTAATTGTAAGCCGCTTACTTCGTAAGCATTTGCGTACTTTTCCTTACTTGTCTTTAGCGGTATCTTTTTGATCACTTTTTCTATTAATAAAATTCGACTACACTATTTATCTCCACAATTCAGCTACACAATAGTCGTAACTAATAAATTGTTAATAAATAGTTTTATCACAATATTAAAAAATTAATTGTTATTTTAGCTTTTGGTGGCAGCATGTTTAGTTTTCAAACGCGTAACAGACGATGAAGCTTCACGAGTTTTTCTGTATTTACAAAAAATATCTAGAGAATGGAGTTTGCTAAATAATATAACTTGGAGTAGAGTCGGTGCTGCTGTTGCAGATGTTACTTATGGAGGTGCGTATATTTATTACTTATTCTAATGTTATGTAAGTTAAATCCACAATAAGTAAATCTGTTTATATTTGATAGTAAAAGTCATTCCCTTTTACAAAAATAAGATATTTTGTTTTTCAACTATATTCTTATATAGCCTTTTCAGATATTGGATATACAATTTCATATTCTCTATACTTTGTCTCAAAGTGACTAGTCTGTACAGGGTAAGATATGCAATGCTAACCTTATGGGAATTTCGCCAAGACGTTGCTAGTTTTATGCAGTGAGCCACTGCGTTCTCTATTGTCTATATTTTAAAATACACGGAATAAACCAGGAGTTCTTAACAAGTCCTCACATACAATTTTATGTAATTAACAAATATCGTTTGCTAATAATTTTACATAATACTATACATTATTTGTTTCTAATAGTAACTTATTAACTCTTATCTTTTATTAGTAGCAGTAGTATAATAAAATGTGCATTAAATAAATATTTGTTTCAAACTTTTTCAAATACTCTTCTAAGTTATTCAGTAATTAGGAAGCAATTAGAGTAATTCTTCTACAGAATATGTTTAGAAGCTTGATACATCCAGGGCTTTAATTAGTCTTTATTTGTTCTTAAGAGCCCGTAAACCTATTCGAGTTACGATTATTTGTAACCATATTGGATGTACTGTTACTGTTTTGGTATTGTTACTATTTGTTGGTGCATGTTGTTGTTATTTGCTGTTGGCAATTATTGTTATTTTCTGTTGTTAGCTATTGTTATATTTGACGTATGCCACAAAATGGAGGAAATTGTTCAATGGAAACGTGGCTCTGAAACTTTCAGAAAAGCAGATACTAATGAATATTATTAATTATCATATTAATCAGGACAACAACGATTCTGTATCAAGTGTAATTACGAAAGTGTCAGAACTGAGTGGTGTTTGCGAAAAGACTGTGTTTCGCATACGACAGGAATTTCATCACCTGCTGGATAACAATCTCCAAAGAGCAGGCTCAAGAAGCGAAAGGTTGGTAATTCTCGTGACAACAAATACAATGAAGGTGTCAGGGGCTAAATTCGTAGAATAGTTGATCAATTTTTTAGTGGCAACATACCACCAACAATAAACACCATTTTTGCTGTTGTAAATGTCGAAGAAACTTTGCCCAACTTTTCACGGACCACGCTACATCTCTTGAAATATGGATTTTGTGTTTATAAAACGTGGCAGAAATTCAATTTTGATTGAAAAACCAGAAATCATCTCGTGGCATCATCGTTATTTACATGCAATTCGTAAATACCGTGCAGAAGGATACAACATAGTGTATTTGGATGAATCATGGGTAAATATCGGGCACAGTGTTAAAAAAGAATGGGTTGATAAAACAATTACATCTCATTGCCATTTGTTCGTGGTCTGACAACAGGATTAAAAGCTCCAACAGCTCGTGATGCACGGTTCATTTTATTGCACGCGGAATCTACCAGTGGAGTTGTTGATGAAGCAAAGCTCACGTTTTTTGTAAAAGCAAAATACTCAGGACTACCACGACGAAATGGATGGACTGACCTTTGAAGATTGGTTCGAAAATAACTTAATGCTAAATTTGCCAGAAAAAACTGTTGTGGTAATAAACAATGCCTCCTATCACAGCAGAAAGTCAGAACAAATTTCCAACAGTTCAACACTAAAAAAAAATATTCAAGAATGGCTTCTGTGAAAGGACCTATTTTTTGAAGAAGACTACCTAAAATGCGAGTTACTTGATGTAGTCAAGGCCTTCAAAGCAAAATATGACAGGTACGTAATAGAGGATACTGCCAAAAAGCACAATGTAAAGATTCTGAGGCTCCCACCCTATCACTGTGAACTCAATCCCATCGAAATGGTTTGGATTGAAGTGAAACGGTATATAACTGGACGCAACGCGAATTTTAAAGAAGGTGAAATGCGAAATTTAATTGCAGCAGCCTACCAGGTCATTACGCCAGAGAATTGGAAAAACTACGTAAACCACGTAATAGCAACAGAAAAAAATGTGGGAAATTGACAATTTGTTGAATGATATCGAATCAATTTTTATAAATATAAATAACGGAGATAGTGATGACAGTGACGATAATAATGATGATGATGATGATAGTTAAGCAGAAACTAAATGTGACAGCGATTGACAAAAAAAGGAACTATAATGATGTACAATTACGATTACTTACACATGAAATTAAATACAATGACTTCTTTTATTTTCAACTTATTTATTAGTTTTATTTTCGGATATTTCTACGTTTTGTTACTGCCAACATATACAGTGCGGTTTTTAAAAGTCCTTCCCCCTTAACTTTTGAACGGAACAATACTTAAATAAAATGTTTCTTTAAATTTTAGTTTTATTTTATTCGATTTTATTTAAATCTATAAACAAATGGTTTGTATCGCAAGCACATACTATAGAATTAAAAACAAACTGCTTGTGTGACATAAATAAAAGGCATTTCTTAAATTCTATTTTATTTTAATTTAACCCAAGTATGTTTTGCAAATAATATTTATGTTTGAGAACCACTGACAGGAGGAAGCCAGGCAGGGTCGTTAGTGGGCATTAGTACTTAAGCTACCCTCAACACAAAAGATGGATTAGGCTAAGTAGTAAAAAGTGACATTTATTTTAATACAAGTTTGCAAAGAAGTATGGCATCGATGTTGTGCATTTACCCTGTACAGACTAGTCACTTTGAGAAAATCTATAGGACTCATTTATTTCACGGTTTTTTGTCAGTTGTAGTTATACATTGTTTTTGGTTTTATACGTCGTGATCTAGAATTAGATACAACGGTAATTAGTTTTGTATGTTATGCGTGAATCTTCCAGAAAATAAAAAATAATTGAGCATAACGTTCGGCGCCGATCTCATATTACCACGATTTCATGCCCGCCAGTTACCTATCTGTCACATCGGTGTGAGCCAACTCTTGTGACTGTATGGTCACACGTTTTTGTTCTAAACTTGGCATATTGTCGACGAAAGTATTTTTGATTCACGACAATGCTGGGTCCCATGCATCGGCAAGAACTCAGCAAGAAATTCAACGTCTGCAACGGGAAATTTTTGAGCACTCTCCCTTGAAATGACGAAGAGCTCGATAATGAAGTTCAGAAGGCTCAGGCGTTTGGTGGTGGATGACTATAGTTCGCCAAATATAGCTGAAAGCGTGCCGATCATGATGCGCATCATGACGGTCCAGAGCATTTGTATGTGCGTTCTCACTTCATTGTTAGAGCTAGCAGCGTTTTGAAGTATGTGGCCCACATATCAAAAAGGCAAAGACCTATTGGCAATTTAAATTTTTTGCTTATTTAGAAAAGGCACTTTCAGGTTTCAGGCAATATCATCTTCTTCTTCTTCTACTTTTTGTAGATCTTTCGATCTGTTTAATTCTGAAGCTGCCTCTGGTTAATTTCTTGGGAGGTAGATTGCCAACTATCCCTCCATCTTTTAGGTGGTCTTCCGGGGGGTCTTGAACCGGGCGGATTGTTTTCTAGGGCAATTTTTGGGAGTTTATTCTCATCCATCCGTCTTACATGGTTTGTACCACATCCTCTTGCGCTACCTTCCCCATATTACAATATCTTGAATTTTGCGCTGCTCTCTAATGTTTGTATTTCTTACTCCGTCTCTTCTTGTTTTCCCCATTATTGTTCTTAGGGTTTTCATTTCGGCAACCCTTAGCATCTGTTTCGTTTTGTTGGTATCTTCGCGCACTTCTATGCCATATGTCATGATCGGTCGTGTGCAAGTCTTATAGATTCTAATTTTACTATTTGTGCGCATATACGGATTTGACCAGACTATCTCCCGCAGACATCCTGACAGTGCAGATGCTTTGTTGATCTGACTCCTCAGGTCCTTTACTGGGTCGTGGGTGCTTGATATATCTATGCCCAGATATCTGAATTGCATCACCTGTTCTATGGGGTTGTCCTCAACCACTAACTTACATCTGAGCGGATCTTTTGCTATTGTCATACATTTAGTTTTGTTGGTAGAGATGTTCATATTTAGTAGTCGGCTTGTTTGAAAGAACTGAAAGAGGTGCCTTTGGAGATCATCTTCTGATTCGGCAATAATTGCTGCATCGTCTGCGTAACACACCATACCAATTCTTTTGTTGCCCATTCTATATCCGAGATTAAGAGATGTTACTTTGTTGATAATTTTGCCCATGAGAAGATTAAACAAGAAGGGGCTTAAACTGTCGCCTTGTCTAATTCCTCCCGGTGTTGGAATATTTTCAGTGAATTCGTCTCCTGCTCTAACTTTGGTTACGTTGTTGTTATTTAGTTTATGGAGTATCTTTGTTATACTGGTCGGTGTTTCATTTTTTATTAATATATTTAGAATATCTCCCAGGCAAACTCTGTCTGTTTCAGGCAATATAATTTACAAAATTGTTTGTTTTTCTTAGTCCACCAAAGTTTTATGGGCATAATAAGGGAGAGTTTGCATGTTTTTTTATTAAACATATTGAAATACAAAATAAAGTGTTTGCGATAATTTTAGGTTATTTAATAATCACTGGTGCCTTATTTGTGGGTCACATCGTTGGAGAACTGCCAACAACGAGGAGAGTAACTGAATATATATTACTAGGAGTAGGAACCATACTGTTCATAGTAATGGGTAAGTTAGATTTCTTATATAATATTTTTAAAAATTGTATACAAACCAATAGATAAAGGGATAGCAATATTTTATATGACTTGAATTGTTTAATAATTGAAAGAAAGGAAAATCAGAAACAGAAATTGTCAGACGTAAAAGGGTAACATGGGCCTCGTTAAGATGAACTGTATACTAAAAAACAAATGCCTACTTTATAACTACTACTATAATATATAACAATAACTTCTTCTTCTTAGTCGTTAACCTGATGCAGGTATCGTGATATCATGAAGCTGTTAGGTAATTTTTCCAATGTTCCTCCACGTTTTTCTATCTTCTGCCAATCTAGCACATTCTGACAATGGAGCGCCAATGGTAGCAACAATATGGTCCGTGTATCGTGTAGGAGATCTACCTCTACTTCTTTTGCCTTCTACTTTTCCCTGGATGGTAAGTTTCTCAAGACCATTTCTTCGAAGCACATGTCCAAAATAGCTTATTATCTGTTCTGTTATTTGTGTTCTTAGTTTTTTCTTTATGTTTAACTGGACCAGTATGGATTCATTTGTTCTTCGGGTAACCCATGGTATTCTCAGCATTCGTCTCAGTACATCTCAAATACATCTATGTTCTTTTTGTCTTTTTCAGTAAGGGTCCAGCATTCCGATGCATAAGTAAAAACTGGAAAAACTAGACTTCTTACTAGTCTCATTTTTGTATCGGTAGTAATTTTCATGGCTTTTAATATTTTTTGTTAATTTTGCCATAGCGCTTTTTGCGATTGCTGACCGCCGCTTTATTTCTTCAGTACAGCCTCCTTTGTTGGTTATTAATGAGCCCAGATACACAAATTTATCCACAACAGCGATATTGTTTATCCTAACCAGATGATTTTGATTGTTGTTAGCTCTGTCAATTATCATGATTCTCGTTTTATCCCTGTTTATTTTAAGGCCCATCGTTAAGCTTACGTCTTCTATCCGTTGTAGCAGGTGAATCAATTCAGTTTCAGAACTAGCGAGGATAGTAGTATCATCTGCATATCTCAAGTTGCAAATCTTCTTCCCGCCAATGGTGATGCCACCGTTCCAGTCCTCAGTAGCTTTCTGCATTATCCATTCACCATAGATGTTAAATAAAATTGGGCTTAGTATGCAGCCTTGTCTCACGCCCTTTGTGGCCCTGAAACTGTCAGTTAGTTCCCCATTTATTCTAACTCTGTTAGGTAAGTAAACTAATGTTAGGTAGTAAAAAGGGCTTTATCCTCTCGAGAATTATGTGTAAGAGTATCTTACTGCAATGCGCAATTAGAGCAATTGTGCGATAGTTGCTACATAAATCTTTCGCTCCCTTTTTATGTATGGGAATATATAGTGATTGTGTCCAGTCCTCAGGCCATTTACCTGTCTCCCACACTCTTTGACAAATTTGATGTATTACATCCACTCCAACGTCATCTAGGGCCAAATCATTTCAATGTTCAAGGTATGTTATCTGGACCGGCAGCTTTTTGACTTTTTTGCCTCATAATTGCTGCTTCAACTTCACTTTTGTGTACGTCAGGTTCCGTCGCAAAACTGGCATCCTCTTGTTGTGATGGGGCGTCTGTGCTTTCCTCCATCATCAGTCGTCCACAGTATTCTTTCCATCTGTGTAAAATATCTTTTTTAGAAGTGAGTAGAGTTCCGTTATCATCTTTGATAGCAGGGTAGTTTGGTGTAAAGGAACGTGTTATCTGCTTTATAATTAACAATAACTACTAAATACCTAAAAAATAAGTACCTTTTTGTTACTCGACTCATTTATGTAAGTATACTAGATTCTTTTTAGCTACCCAAAATTAATAAGTTTACATTATAATCGTTGGTATGGTAGTTTTATAGAATTTATCTTTCAGTTTTGTTGACATCCTTCTGTCATACCACCCACTTCATTTCATGCCATCAATCCTGCTCTTAATTCTCACAATCATTCTATCATCCAAAGTGTTTATCTTATTTGTAACTTCGAATTCAAATTAATATTCTAAATACTTTATTATATGGTGTGAACCTTTTTCTTAAATATCTTAATTGTATTGTTTCAGTCTTTGCTCTAATTTCTTCTCGTTTTCCTTCTACTTTTCCTTGTTACAACTAGATAGTGTTAACTATTTATCTCAAGTTTTTTTCTCGAAATGGTCCTAATATATCTGGGGTATGTTTATCTCTTACTAGATTTGCTAGCTGCTTTTCCATCATCTTTTATTTTATACATAACGATAATATTGACTAATTTTTGTTCAGCAGTTACCATTCGTATCTTTAGAATTCTTCCGGAAATACATTCCCAATCATTAATTTACTTTATTAGGTTACTGTTTTTATAAGGCAATCTACACCTTCTTCTATCCCTTCGCTTTGTGACACTCCACTAGTGATGAGGAAGTACCCATTTTCTAAAAACTGTGTGTGTTTTTCCTTCTTTTTGGTATCTGTTATACCTAGTACGTTTATTTAATTTTTCTTAAATTCTTTAGCAAGTTCAAATTCCTGGCCGTTAAGACCTTTGACATTAAGACCTTAAGACATGTTGCTAATGTCCATCCTTTGGGATTTGGAACTACTCTGTTATTATGGGCCGTGTCATTGAACTCTTTCTTTTTGCTTGTGGGTTTTAAATATTTACTGCATATGTTCTAGCTCGTTGCTAAAATTTTTTCAACCACTTTTCGATATTTCAATTCATGTTTTTATTTTTTAACTGTTTTTTGCACAGAATATACGTTCTTTCTTGCCTTATAACATCCATCATAAAAATCTAAAACAAACAAAAATTAAAAAGGTACTGTAAACCATTTTAAAATCTCAGGCTTGACAAAATTATATCTTACTTTTACTTTTTATGAATTTTGGTGTTTTAAAGATGTTTATGTTTTAGGAAGTCTTTCTTTCGCTGCATTAGACTCCGTTCCTCCAAGTCTGGTAGACAATGCTGCTATAGTAGGAACGCTATCCCTGGTAGTTGCAGGTCTATTCCTTCTTGATATGGGCGGCCCAAAGAAACGACCAGCTAGATCTCAACAACCCAAACAAAAGAAGAACGTTGTAGTTCCTCGAGGCAGTATTACAAAACAGGTTATTGAGATAGAAAGAGATAAAGACAAGGAGCAAAAAGGTCAGAAAGAGACTACAAAACCTGAGGAGATACAATTTAAAAAGGTAGAGAAGGGTGTGAAAATTGAAAAGGACAAAAATGGAACTAACGGAATGACTGCTATTGAAATGCAAAATACAAACAGTTCTAATAAAGGTATAATCTCTGCGTTAGTTTATATAATTTTTTTTCTTTTAATAATAGGGCGAAAATGGCTGCTTATAAAACATTTGGTACCTACGCTGATACAATTTTAAAATCATCTTTTGTAAACTGGTTAGTATGGTGGTAGTACACCACATGCTTTTATTGATTATATTCTTTAGATTTTTATGGGATTATGATAAGTTAAGATAAGTGATCCTGTATTTTACCTGTATTTATATATGGAGCTCAAATCTGGACATTCGCTAAAATTAACATGGAGAAGATCAGAAAAACTCAGAGAGCTATGGAACTACAAATGCAGGGTATCTCACTCAAAGACCATAAAACCAATGAAGAGATTTGTATTAGGACAAAAGTAAAAGATGCTGTCGAACAGGCAGCAAAACTGAAATAAAAATGGGCTGGACATAACAAACGTCTAAAGGATGGCCGATGGAATAGAGAAATCGGGAATTGGCGGCCATATAAAGCAAAAAAAGACCACGAGTAAGACCGCAAATTTGCTGGAGCGACGATATTAAAAGAACTGCTTTACCAATGTAGAAACGTCTTACAAACAACAGAGATGCATGACGAAAATTAAGAGAGGACTATATTTGGTATTTAGTAAAGTTATGGGTCTAAAGATTTAAAGACCCATAACTTTACTAAATGTGATGTACAAACTATTAACCAAAATATTAACAAATAGATTAACAACTAAATTAGATGGATACCAGGCAAGAGAACAAGCCGGATTTAGAAAGAGCATCAGTACAAGTGACCACCTTTTAACGATGAAGATTTTAATCGAAAAAACTAACGAATAGTTAGTTTTTGATTCCACACTATCAAATGCCTTTTTGAAAGAAGGCATTTGATAGTGTGGAATACTGGGCAGTACAGAATTTCCTACAAAACAGCAGAATAGACTACCGATATACCGACTTAATTACAAATATATACAACAAGGCAACAACAACTATTAAGCTAATGAAACAAACGGAGCCTATTAAAATAAACCGAGGAGTAAGACAAGGAGATATCATCTCGCCCAAGCTATTCAACCAAGCGCTTCAACCAAGATGTTTTCAAACTACTACACTGGGATGGCTTGGGAATTAACATAAACGGGCAAAATCTGAATCATTTACGATATGCTGATGATATTGTATTATTAAGAGAAAAAAGTGAAGAATTACAAAGAACGATGGAAGAACTAGATAGAGAATCGACAAAAATTGGACTTAAGATGAATTACAGTAAAACGAAAACCATGACTAATCAACCAGAAGAACTAATAATTACAGTGGCACAAACAAGAATAGAACAAGTAAAAGAGTATATTTATCTAAGCCAAATCACTAAATTAAATAAAGAAAATCAGACCGAAGAAATAAAGAGAAGAATAAGATTGGCCTAGGCATCATTCAGAAAACTGTCCTATATTCTAAAGAATTCAAAGTACCTAAAAACGAGAGTCTTCAATCAATGTATACTCCCTGTCCTCACATATGGCTCTCAGACATGGACGTTTACAAAGGAAAATATGGAAAAAATAGCAAAGACAGAAAGATCCATGGAAAGACAAATGCTGAACAATAAACTATCAGACAGAAAAAGAAACGAATGGATCCGTAATAAAACAAAAGTGACAGATGTCTCAACCCAAGTAGCAAAGCTTAAATGGAAGTTCGCCGGACACACCCCAAGGCAGAAAGATGAAAGATGGACTAAGATAATTATACATTGGAGACCATGGAATCACAAACGAAAAAGGGAAAGGCCACAAATGCGATGGCCAGATGACCTGAAGAAACACGCCGGGTCAAAATGGATGCAAATTTCCCAAGATAAAGAGGCATGGAAGAAGGAGGAGGAGGCCTATGTCCAAGGATGGATGTTTAGGGCTGTGTAGATAGATAGATATATTTGGCAATCCGAATGGAGAGAAGTGCTTAAAAAAATGATAAGTTAAAAATTCAAGATAGTCACTTTACTTTATCAAAACAAACACTAGATCTAGTTACAGATCCTACTTATACATATTAAGCTTAATTTCGTGAGATAAATCGTAAATTTTCATTTTTTAAGTAAACTGATACTTTACTTGATAATAGATGCAAATGGTTCCTATTATAGATGACCCATTTTACGAAAAATAGAAGTAGAAGACAGACATACTGAGTTCTTATCGGGTGGGGGCGGCGAAACTCGGCCCCGACCTAAGGGTGTCATGAAAGCCAAATGCGGTCTTTTCAGATGAATTGTTGTGTGCTGCAAGAAAAGTTACCATAGCCTCTTTTCTGCTGTCTATAATATGATCAATAATATATGATTAAGTTCTTATGCTTAAGTAAAATTGTCAATTATCGAAAGATAATTTAACAAATAGGAATAAAACCACGTGATTACAATTATTGCTATACGGAGTCGAAACACGGAATTACAAGTATGAGGCGTATAGAAGCCTTTGAGAAGGATGCTGAAGATCTCTTGGACAGAGCACGTGACCAACAACGAGGTGATAAGAAGAGTGGTACTGAGAGAGAACTCCTAAATATTATAAAAAACAGAAAATCGAGTTATCTAGGACATATTTACAGAGGAGTAAAATACAACTTCCTACGACTTATAATGGAAGGGAAAGTAGAAGGAAGAAGAGGTCCAGGAAGAAGAAAATGCTCCTGGTTGAAGAATGTAAGAGACTGGATAGGCATGGACACACATTCGATACTAAGAACAGCTCAAGATAGAGAGCAATTTGATGTAGTTATAGCCAACCTTCAGTAATGTAGAAGGCCCCTTAAGAGTTCTGTGAAGAGTTGTACCATGTGTCGCAATGGATAAGTATCTTAACTTAATAATGTATGTGCATATATCTACACTTTATCACATATTCTTATGTATACTTCACAAATTTAAACTAAAAATGACAAGCAATAGTAAGACAGGCCATTCACGTTCCGACTAGTGTAACTGCAGAAGTTAGACCACTAGTACCACTAAAAACAAAAAATGATCTGAAATCGGACCGTGAGTGGGCTAGTTGGATTAGTTGGACAACTAGTGGTACGAGTCGGAACATCTAGTGGGACGACTTGAAGATCCAACTTCCGACTGGCGACCAAGTCGGAGCGTGAATGGTGAAGTTGGAAGTCGGATCACCGGTTGGATCGAAAATTTCCTCGGTCAGTTGACCTTCGGCACCTGTTACGTATGGGATTTCTATGAATTCCTTTACGCAAAGATCCCTAGTTCGCAAATTATCAATAGAAAATAAACTTTCAATTGCACAAAAATTACCATTATTAAGATACAGGATTCTTAATCATAATCTACTTTTTGTTAGAGCAAATCATTTTCCTTTCTGTAAATATATTTCGGACACTCCCACACAGGTACAATTTCCAACACTCCGGATTGGCTACAGAAGAATTATCAACAAATAACGAAAATTAAATCATAGTTTTAGCAAAGATCCCTAGTTCGCTATTGAATAATAGAAAATAACTTTTAATTGCACGAAAAATTATTCCTATTAAAAATATACCACACACATACAACAAAATAGATCTCAGCTCCAGTTTAAAACAAGTTTTTATTTCTTTCTAAAATAGAGTATACCTACACAAATCCTTAAAAAATATAATTTTTTCCTACATCTTAAAAAGTCATAAAAATCAAGAGTCGAAAAAGATAATTAGTACAGCCCTAGACAAATAACTAAAGAAACAAAACCTAATTTTTAAACATACATATCATAACATACATATGATAAGGATAACAAGCACAATGCTACCCTCCTTTCCTCCTTCTAATTATATTTTGCATAGGGTTTAATCGATACATTTTTTGATGCCTGCATAAAATAGCTTGCATAAAAATTAAAAATAATACATTGCGTCTGACTAAGAATTTATTACTAATTTAACTAGGTACCACTAAAAACCAAAAATGTACAGGCCAAACCTTCAAAATGCTCTAGTCCAATAAATTCTTGTTGAATCATAAGGCTGTACCTTTTTACAAAGTGTGTCAAATCAAATCTAAAAGTAAAAAGAAGATACTTAAAAATCAATTAGTAACAAACCAGTTACTTTTTTCGCTAACGAATTAAAATAATAGTGCAGTACTTCAGGTGGGATGATATTATTAGTAGGTACCGCCTATATTATTGATTTCGTCTATTACTACCGAACCAGCAATTTATAACTGAGATGAGTTTATGATTTTAACTCGGAAACAGTGGCGATCTTTTCTGTCACAGGATCGATCAGTCGCGCTTTAGTTTTTATCTAATAATACGAATTTAAAAAAAATTTTTATTCTATAAGGTATCTGATTCTATTCTATTCTTAATAACATAAAGTATGCTGATGACGCTGTGATTCTAGCAAGTAGCATGGAGGAACTGAGTTGCCTAATGAGTAAGATACAAAAAACAAGTGCACAATACGGACTCAGACTAAATATCACAAAAACCAAATGGATGTTAGTAAGCAAAACCCAACAACCACCACAGCAACTGATATTAGACAATGAAAGAATTGAACACGTGGATTCGTACATCTACTTGGGAACAACAGTTAACTCAAATTGGGATCAAGCGAAGAAAATACAAGAAAGTTGGAATACTTGGGTCACGTTATGAGACATAATAAATATAGAGTACTACAGCTGATCGTTCAAGGGAAAATAGACAGCAGAAGGGGTCCAGGGAGGAGAAGACACTCGTGGCTCCAAAACTTGCGGCAATGGTTCGGATTGTCATCTGCTGAACTATTCAGATCTGCCGTAAACAAAGTCAGAATAGCGATGTTGATTGCCAACGTTCGGAACGGACAAGGCACATGCAGAAGAAGGTATCTGAATGTAATATCGTCAAGCTAAGGTTTAGAATTTTGGATAGTGGATCATATTAAAAAATATGACGCTACTTGACTTGAGGTATTCAATGAACTACTTGAAATTACGTAGAAATTACTAAAATAGTACTTGGGTATTTTTACATATTTACTGTACAATTTAAAAAAAAAAGTCATCGTTGGCGATATTTCTAACCCCTTGTGGGCTATATCGCAAACCTATTATTTCGAATGCAAGACACTATAACAGTTGACCTTGTAACTTCAAAATAATATATTTGCTGAAAAATAACAATAAGTGAGTATTTAAGAACAATAAGGACAAATATATGATTGAACAGTATCTTCTTTTGTTAGTCCAAGGCAGTCCCAATGTGAGTAATACAGATACTACTACAGAGTAATACTGCATATGAGATATATCGACTACTCTATCCTCGCTATACGCCTTGCAAAACCAGTTTTCCTTGGTATTCGAAGAACCTTTTTTGGATACTTTAGGTAAATTGGGTTTCTTAAGGGGGGTATTGATTTTATCAGTATTGAACAGATATTTTGTCACAACTTGCGCTTTACTATTAACAGCGGCTTTTTTTGCTCATGTAGATTTTTGTGCCATATCTGGAGTGGTTAGCATATCTTAAAATGAAATGTCATGTTTTTCTTCATCTGATGTTTCCATCTAACTGAACTCTATGTCATCAGAATCACTGTTGCTTGTCGATAACTCTACGGCAGAGCGCTTTTTAATTTTTCCAACCTTCGACGTACTTGGAGAAGGTGACTGTCTTTGAGAAAAATATGGTCAAAATGGATAATTCTCGGTTAATGATTCATCAGGTCCAATACAGTGATTAATTAATGTATTGGAAGTAAAGGCCTCTATTGCTATTACAGCTGCATTCAGAGGATAGATGCCTGTTGCCGAAAATCCCTATTTGATGTTTGAAGTTATCATGGCGTTTATCCCATACTCTGGGATAAGTCCATGACACCTAAAATAACACTATTTTTTAAATAATAAGTTGTAATTTAAAAAAGTTATAAGGGAAAATAATTTGACTTGACTGGTTCATCCTTTTAACATCTTTTTTTTTGTGGGGAACAATAAAAAAATAGAGTTTCATACTCACAAATTATTTTCTAGTAATTTATTAAATCAAATAACCTAAAACATAGTTTCAACTAAATGTTGATACTCTTTACTCATTGTCACTGAATCGTGATACCGAAGTTCCCTTATTGTCTGGTGAGACGCTCTGATAGTAATTTCGGATTGCTTCATAAAACCGTTGATCACACTGTGGCACAAAATTTGTTGCTAAAAACATAACATGCTCGAATTTGTTCTTTTTCAGTATACTCATTTCAGTGTACAACTTGTAGATGTAGAATTTTAGGTATACTGTGCATGAATAAACGCTTATAGATAATGGATTTTGACAAGAGCTATTACCTTGAAAATAACAGGTAAACGTGTGTAAATTTAATTACTTCTAACTCATTTTGCCCAAAAGTGGACTTTCCCGGTTTATGCATTGGACCCTTCAATTTCATTTTTCTTGCTACAGAATGACCTTCATTAATTCAAGTTTCATCTAAATAATAACTTGTCTTGTTTTCTGTCCTATTTTTTATTTGTCTCATCTTCATTATTCACTTTTTTCGTTTTTCTCAAGCATCGATTGTGTAGGTACCAAATGTTCGCATTTGAAGTCTAAATTTTAAGTTCATCTAAATAATAACTTTTCTTGTTTTCTGCCCTATTTTTTATTTGTCTCATCTGTATTATTCACTTTTTTCGTTTTTCTTAAGCATCGATTGTGTAGATACCAAAGATTCGCATTTGAAGTTTAATTCATATAAAAGTTTCCATAGTTTGATTCTATTTCTGGTGGGCAAATAAGGATAATCGGTAACAGTTTGTAAAACTTTATCTAAAGTTGGTATTTGCTTGTTTAAAAAAACATATGCACTACCCTACGAATAAAAGATGTTTTAGAGTATACTGGAGATGTGCATAATTGTTTATCTAAATAAACGACAAAAAATGATGTTTTAGAGAAGATGTTTTAGAGTATACTGGAGATGTGCATAATTGTTTATCTAAATAAACGACAAAAAGAAGCTGAGGCTGAAATGTTGCTATTGTAAGGTTGTACAGTTACTTAAAATATGCATACCAAATTAGTTTATTTTCTAAGAAGTTACTCTATATTACTTTTGAAATGTGATATAGAAGGTTCGATTTAGCCTTGATATAAGAGCCCTGTATGTGTATATACCATAGTAAAAAAATGTCTGTTTGTTGTTGGCATATAGCTGACATATATACGGCCTAAAAATATTTTTCTTTGCTTGTTGATTGTATTAATAATTGGTTATAATGATTTAGGTTACCAAAGAATGAGGGAGGACTCTTTTAGAAGATTTGGAATATACGGTCAAGACGTTACTGATGAAGGAAGTACAGAAGCTGAAGATATGGAAATACCTCCACATGGTGAGCATTCACCAGTTTGGAGTAACATAAGAAGAGGTATGTAATAATATAAACACAACATTATCATTAAATCATTCTAAAATATTCACATACTAAAAATTATATTTTCAGGCTGCATCAACAGTATTTCTGAGATAAAAATATTTATTAAATTTGCACAGATAACTAATAAGGTATAAAAAAAAAATATATCATCTTCGTCGGACTTTATCGTCTTCCGACTTTATCCGTCCAATAACCCCCTTTCAGATCTGTTTCCTGAACAGCAAGATCCACTTCTTCTATTAGGTATATGTCCAAACCATTAAAATCGTCTTTCGTGAATGTTCTGATTTATTATCTCTGTGATGTTTTTAAGATAACTTATTTGTTTATTAATAATTTGTTTATTAATAACCCTCTTTCAGATCTGTTTCCTGAACAGCAATATCCACTTCTTCTATTAGGTATATGTCCAAACCACTAAAATCGTCTTTCGTGAATGTTCTGATTTATTATGTCTGTGGTATTAGTAAGATAACTTATTTGTTTATTTCTAATTCTCTGTATTCTTGAAACTTCAAGTGATCGTTTGAGGTAATCCATACTATTCTTTTGTATCTATACCTATATAAAATTTTGTATTTGTGAGGGTATTATTAGTTTATAATTTGTGTATATACTCTTGTAAAAATCTGCGTACTTTTTATATTGTTCTTATATTTGCATCCAGATTCATTACGAAGGATCAAAGATAAATGTATGAATATATCTGTTACAGTTTCTTTATCAAAGCACCTTATAATAATAGTAAAAAATACCTAAACATTGATTTACCAGGGCCATATATTTGTAGAATTTGTAAAAATTAAATTTAAAAAAATATATTAGAATGTCATGTAAGTATATATATATATATATATATATATATATATATATATATATATATATATATATATATATATATATATTTATAATATAAAAAATATTATAAAATAAATATATATAATATTTTTCATCTTTATATAAATTACTTATCGTTTATAAGTAATTAGATTAAATTAAATTTGTACCATATTGATTTTGCTAGTTTTGTTTAACAATGCATGTTTTGTTTTTAATTGTATGAATTTATTTCTCATAACTCTTTTTCTTAAATCAACAAATCTTACATGGTGCCAAATCCACTAAGAATATCATCCTCGGCCAGACTAGGACTAGAGCCATCCTTATGCGTTCTATCTACTCCCAGAGAAGCCTCTAGTCTCTGTATAGTCTAATTTTGTTCGATTTTCATTTTGTGTGCTTATAGCCACGATATTTATTATAAATCAAGGCTTTAACATTTACAGTATTGGAAGATTCAAAACGGAACATACGAATTATTAATACAATTATTAAGATCCCCTGACCTGCAATTACCCAGTGTAAATTTCAATGTAACGTCGCGATGTCTTATAATTAATTCATTTGTTCGACTGGATTGCTACTCCTTGGCGATTTCTAGTAGCGTATTCGACAGGTGTACGTCGACACTGTTGTCTATCCTCCACTGATTTTCTGTGTTTTTGTGCAGATAATAACAATGTTTTATTAAGAACAATTTTTTTGTGTTCATTAGATATTATTTGAATTGGTTAGTGTATAGTTTAATATATTTATTATTCCAAATATTGTTGATAATTTAAAATTTAAAAGGATGTATATGATACATCAAAATCTACAGATTTTTGCCGAAGGTATCTATCGATTTGGCAACAGTCCCAAGGAACATCACTGGCCGAGCAAAACAAATACATGCCCTTTGCTTTGCTTCTCATTATAACGCCATAAGCTGAAATAAAAGTAGTGTTTCTAACCATAAACCATGTATACAAACAAAGAAAAAGTACAAATTTTTAAATGGTATTATGGGGGCAACTCGTACCGTGATATTATAAATTTATTTACTTGTGCGTATGAAGATAGGCCAATACCGACACAATCAACTATTAGTCGTATTATTAAGGTGCGCACGTGCGCAGCAGTAGAAAAATATCGACTGGAGAAGGAATCCAGTCGAACAAATGAATTAATTATAAGACATCGCGACGTTATATTGAAATTTACACTGGGTAATTGCAGGTCAGGGATCATAATAATTGTATTAATAATTCGTATGTTCCGTTTTGAATCTTCCAATACTGTATGTTGTTAAATATTTCCACTCAACTCTCCAAGTGATCAAGACACATTTTCTAAATATGTAGCAAAACCTATTTCTTAAGCAATACGTTAATAAAATTTATCTGTTTTATAGGAGAATATGGAAAATATGACATAGTAAATCCTAAGTTCGTTTTAAGAAGATCCGATAGACGGCAAGAAGAAATTCGACCACCTAGCAGCCCGGGTGATCCAGGATATGTACAATATACTGCACAACACTGGGGAGAAGGTGGTACTAGAACTCCCCGACCTAGTCCAACTGAACCAACTGAAGTTTAGTTTTTCTTACAAAGACATTTTTATCTTTTTTATAAATAATGTTAAGTCAGTTATGCCATATACTTTGTATATTTTAATACAGCACCTCTTTATATACCTTAGATTATTGTTTAATACAATGTTAAATAAAATTTCAACTGTTCTTATTTGTGCATTATACACACCTAAGATATAAACCTGCTACAAAAGACTTTCTATGGAAGTGCGAGTCAAAGCATAATGTTCAATGTAAGTAGTCTAAAGTTTTATGGTACAATCTAGGCACACGACAGAAAAACAAAATTCTTGTAAGCAGTTATTGTTCCATGCTTCCATCGGTGGTAGATGTCATACCCTACTATCTCCCACAGGATGTGGTTTAGGTTATTTTCCTATTCGGGAAATTTCATTTGTGCTTATTCTTTAGGCTTTCAGGTGTTTTTGAAACATCTGCTGTGTATAGTTTTTTATAATGTATATGCCAGCATTTTTTACTACGTTACATCAGCCTCTGGACTCACGACATCTGACAGGACTTGTCTATCAGAACTCTGAACTGTCGGCTAGCTATTGCCTCAATGTACCCATTGTGCTTCATTTTACATAAATCTTATGGCACCCGCTTCAAATGTTTTGACATTCTTATCGTTCCGTTTCTCCTCACACTCTTAAGGCTCTATTTCCGCTATTTTGTCGACTGCTGGAAGTACTTATTGGTCTATAGTTTCGCGGAAATTTGCTGTTTTGCACTGCTTTGTGGATCATGGTGCACTAGGAGTCTTTCAATCGATTAGTCAAGAGCCTGAATCCTAGGCTGGTATTTATTAGCTTCATTATATAAACGACTCTATTGGATATTTCGTCGGATTCTGGAGCTTTTTATGAAAAGTTCTTCCTTATTATTTCGCTGATCTACCTTGGGGAGGTGTATGTTTGTATTGTATCTTTTTGTTCTTCTTCTTCTTACTTTATCTTTAATTCAGAATTTGAAGAAGTAGAACAATTCAAATACCTGGGAGTGACAATAAGTGAACCCAGAAAAAATAATGCTAAAATATAAAGAATGCCAAAAATATAAAAATAAAAGTATTGGCAGCGAATAAGGCTTATTTTGTAAATAAATGATCAATTAACAGCAAAATTCTAACTAAGAAAACTAAGACGAACACATATAACTCAATAATTAGACCAATATTATTATATACAGAAGAAACAATGACAATGACTAAAAACGATGAAGAAGACTTACGAATAGCGGAAAGAAAGGTCATGAGAACCATACTGGATTCAATCCAAAAAAGTTCAATATGAATATAGAATCAGAACAAATGCAAAGAAAGTACTGATAGAAGGTATCGTGACCAACCAAAATAAAGTAATGTAGAACTAGATGGCTAGGTCACATCTTCCGGGCAAAAAATAAAGCAGTGACATACGCGATGATAAAATAGAGCCCAGGAAAAATAAACAAAAGGCTTTTATTTAATATTAGGGGTAAACCGCTGGTACTTAATCTTAAAAAGTATGTGGTCCAAAATTATTGTTCTCTAATCGAATAGTAATTATTTAGATTCGATTATTATTGGTGTTTACTTAGATTTTCAGTAGAGTTTCTATGGGCTGTTTTTAATATCAACATTGCTACTCTATCATTTAGATGGATAAAGTCTATGACTGACAGCGTAATTTTATCCGATACAAATATCCATCTGTTCCATCTGTTGTTTTTCGTTTTCCTGAACGAGGACATCTTATTTCACTCATTTTCAAGATGTCTATTTTCATTATTCTCATCTCGGCTTCACTGTTTACGAGTTTCCCAAACATGAATAAGCTGCGTACGTTCCAGGTGGCAATTCGTACTATCCTGTCATATATTTTAATGCTCTGGCCACTTCCTTCTACCTTAATAGTAGTTGACAGTAGCTACAGCATTTAAGGGGTGTCCCGGATTAAGGGGCATTTTTTGTGTCCGTCTGTCATTTAGATTTGTGGAAAACATAATGTGCCATATGAGTCCAACATGGTCTCACGGTTTTGTGTATTTATATAACCGCGTGACGCCACATTAGTCTTGCTACAACCAGTATTCTTCTTCTTCTTAAGGTGCCGTGCATTTCTGCGTAGGCGTCAACCGTACATCGTCTTGTCAGGTGAGATGTTAAATAGTCAGGATTCTGTTTTCGAAGCATTTCATAACTGTGGATTCCTGTCCATTGTCGAATATTGCGCAGCCATGACATTTTTTTTACGTCCCAGACCTCTCCTACCCTCTATCTTCCCTTCGAGTGTCAGTTGCTGAAAAGTGTATCTTTCTCCTCCTAATATGTGCCCCAAAGTATGCAGTCTTCTTACCTTTTACATAACTAAAAAGTTCTCTATCCTGTAAGGCCGCTCTTTTGAGTACTTCCTCATTTCTGACCCTGTCCGTCCATGATATTCTAAGCATTCGACGCAGGCACTACATTTCAAACACTTCAACTCTGTTAATGGAACTGACCTTTAATGTCCATGCTTCCATTCCGTACAAGAGAACAGGCCACACGTAATACTTACCTAAGCATCTTCTATCGGAGGTTGAAGTCCAATTTGCGATCAGTCAGAAACTTACGAAGCCTCAAAAAAGCATTTCTGGCTTGTTCAACTCTGCTCTTTATTTCATTATCGGGATCCCAACCCTCGTTCAGCAAACAACTTAAGTATTTCAATTGCCTGACCTGTTCGATTTCTTCTCCAGAGATATATCTTTGCATTGGGGTAATCATTTCTATTTATAATCATTGTTTTTCTCTTTTTGATATTTATTTTCGAACCCCGAGCTTCACTTGCAAGAGTTTAAAAAGCATTGAAGATCTTCGATGTTATCTACCACCATGGCTGTATCATCGGCATACCTGATGTTATTAATAAATATGCCGTTAACTTTAATACCCTTATTAGAGTCTGCCACTGCTTCTGCGAAGGCTTTTTCTATGTATAAATTGAACAGCATTGGAGACAGTATACAACCTTGCCTTACTCCTTTTTTAATGGAGAAATCTTCTGTTTCGTTGAAATTTTGAAGACGTACTGTTGCTGTCTGGTTCCAATACAGATTGGTGATAATTCTTATATCCTTGGTGTCCAATCCCAACTCTTGTAGGTTTTTTATCACCAATTCGTGTTTCACATTATCGAATGCTTTCTCATAATCGATGAAACAGACAAAAAACCTTCTTTCTTTGATCTAAACAATTCTGTATTATTAATGTTTGCATACTAAAGATCGCGTTTCTCGTGCCAAGTCCATTTTTGAAACCAAACTGACCTCTTCACATTTTGTAGCGTTTACGCTACTAATTACCAATAATACAATTTAAAATTGTATTAATAGAAACCCCTCACGAAATTTCTTATGACCCGCCAGCGGTCGATTCAAACCACCTATACGCGCAGGTTTCGCTTTTTGGAAGGCTGGAAGGAGTTTGTGCCGAAGCCAACCGGCAGTTTGGTCAAGAAACTCACGCAGCACGTCAGCTAATTTAAAGTGACGGAATTGGAACAGAAAAATAATCTGGGACGAATAAAATAATATCTAATTCGTTAATAATATCTCAGTAATACTAATAATAAGAAGTAAATTTTAAAAATCAAGATTTTCTAATGTAAGAGTTCCACATAATAAGGATATTTTTTTTTTGGCGTGTTGCAAGTTCCAGTAAGTACATTATTTTATACGTATTATCTTTTATTATACAATAAAATCTATCCTTGCAGTTTAATATTTCTTTAGAGACTTATTTTTGAGTTCCGAAATAATTTAACTATAAAATTTCCTTGATTTACTTGCAAAGAATAGAAGGTCATTTTTTATATAGTCAAACTTAAATTCCACGTCGTTATCATTAAGTTTTTGGTTAAATTTTTATCTAACTTTTTTGGTGGAATATAATAGGTCCTACAATTATTGGACAGCTATTATATTCTGCGCATGTTCATTTCCTATCATGCTGGGAAATAACTTCGGGAATTTTGACATGACAAATATATCTAACCTGATGTTTGATGTTTTGTTTTGGTAAAGTGAATCCATGCTGCTACAGCTATTGAATTACATTTATTAAATTAATTAATCCTTTTAGATTCCGTCACTGAAAATATTTATCACTTAAAATATTCATCTAAGAATATTAACTTGAAAATATTCCCTCAAGGATGTTAGTTATTCACTTCTTTAAATAGTTGCCGTGGATTGTGGATGTTGCTGTCACCCAGAGACCAGTGACTGGTTTTGTGCCCAGGACTTATCTTACAACCATGAATTAGTTTTGTTTTGCCCAGAGGAGTTTTCCTAGGGACTTATTGTTGCCAAGATAAGTTGTTTTAACTATTTGGTTTTTGTGTTACTTTCTATTTAAATCGTGTACACTTTTTAAATATGACTAGGAGATTACAATTTTGATAAAATACATTTTTTTGACATAATCTAATTCTAAAATATTGGGGATGAGGGAAAATACCTTTCATGTGTTATTAGGTTTTTTTTTTTTGTTTAACTGGGATTTCAAGAGTAATTGACCAAACTCACTTTTTTGATATATTTTTGTAATACAATGCTTTTAATAATAATAATAATAAATTTTGATGTCATAATATTAAATTTTGGGAAGGGATATAAATTTCATGTGTTTTTTACAATAAATTATAAGGAGTATTGAAAACTCAATTTTTTGTATGTAATATCTTTAATATATCTGTAATAGATTGATCACTTTTTGATACCTTTATAATAATGTAATTTGGATCTCATTGTAGTAGAATGAGTTAAATTTAAATGATTACCTTTTGTATTTAGACTTTGGCTACCCTAACGGACTATTCTTGTTAATACTAATATTTACATTTTATTTGGCCAGTGGTAGTGACTATTTGCTTGTGGAGGGGCTATTAGGTCCCATTTTATCTTTATACCCACAACCACTGTTATTTGGCTTTGCATTATATGTAAATTGTTTATACACATATACCTATATACATTTGTTTATAAATATATTTATTGTTGCTATTTTGAGTTTTATTTCAGTTCTACTAACCAGTATATAACATAGCAAAACAAGATTATTATTTAGTATTTTTTGTATTTCAGAGTAT